TAATGGGCATGGAGTACCCCCCTCATTGAACACGCCCCACCCCCAGCTCAAGTGGAAAATAATTTAGGGAGACCCCTGGTGGGAGCTTACACAGAATTAATTAAATACCTCCCCTAAAACACATGATAGTTCTTGGTCCTGGCATTGCACCCTGGGCATAGACAAAGAAGTTTATATGCACCCCCATACGTGGAAACACTGGCAGACAAATGGAGCCGCAAAGCACAAAGGTAGTGCAGTTTATGCAAGCATCAGTGAGAAGATGGGGGGAGGTCCCTAGAAGTCCATAATAGGTTAATATATCTCTTTGCTCATAATGATCATTTTGACAGAGCAGGTTTTCTTGTATAAAAAGGAAAACAAATACCATACCCTTTTCTTTAACAAGGGTATTCAAATACTATATCAAGCCTCTTGTAACATACTATAAATGTGTATTTTAAAAAATTGCATTTACCTAATGCACCATATAATTTGCTCCCTTATACCTAGAATGTGAGCGTTAGTCTCAGAATAGATTGGTTGGCTTTATAGATGTTAAAGGTATATGTGTTTTGTTTTGGGTTTTTTTTCCACTTGTTTTCTTCCCTCTGGCACCATCTCATTGGGTCACTGGGGGGTGCAGCAATTGTACCTGCCGCCGCCTTGCTGCCCTGCTCACTAACGTCACTGGTTGCCAGGGACTGAGTGGGACTCTCTGGCTGGTGTCCCGCCCAGCTCCTAGCAACCAGTGACATCAGTGAGCTGGGCGGGAGGCCGGACAAAGGCATCCACCGCCATCCCCTCAAACACGCGCTGTGATATATAAGATTATTTGTTTCATCTGTTCCCCATAGCTCAATTTTCCTCTATGTAGATCGCTTCACCCTTTTTCATTAAGTTTCCAATCTGCATCTCAGCCACATGTCCTTTGCTGAGTGGATCACATTATGCTCTTTTGACCTATCCAATGTTCTCTGTAAAGATCTCCACTGTTTGAAATAAACTCCTCAACTATCTTCAAGGTGTCATATGGATTGAGCCACTGCCTGCTAACCAGTGGCGGAGCTAAGGAACAAAGGGCCCTGGTGCAAGATTTTTTTTTGCCCCCCCCGCACCAGCACCGCGAACGAGCACCA